CCCTAAAAATGTCACACCTCACCTTATCTCAGGGATTTCCGTCTCCGGCGGTAAGGCCCTTTGAAAAACGGAGCTAACACGTCAAAAACCTTCCACAAACATACCGTGCGCGACCGGCCTCAAGCAGTTGTCCCTTGGGCTCTGCGGTCACCCTCCCAGGTCGTCAAGACCAACACTAATCCAATTTCCTTTTCAGGTTCCTCAAGAAATACCCTTCCACAGTGTGGGCAGCCGGGAAGTGATATCAGTCCTCATACCCGTAACAGCACACGAAACCAAGTTGGTTACATTCGAATCCACCCCACACCTCCTAATAACTCTCTTATCTCCATGACTAACCCTCCTCATGTCTCTTTATCACCTCGAACCGCTAGGGCAAACGATTCGAGTACGTAGAACGCTATTCCTGGTCTCCTGAAACCACGCTCTAAACTACACGTAGGAGCTTTTAACGTACGAACACTTTGCCAAATAGGACAACAGGCTTCCTTAGCTAGGACTTTAGAATCTCGCGCCATCGATGTGTGCTGCGTCTCCGAAACGCGCATACAGGATCCAAGTAGCGTCATTCATTTGACCTCACCATGCCAAAATAAAGAACCGACTCGATTTACGCTTCGTGTATCTGGAAGCCCTGATTCTGCTTCCCGTGGCCTCGCCGGCGTAGGTATAGCATTGAGTCCTAGGGCAGAACTAGCTCTCTTAGAGTGGATCCCAGTAGACAGTCGTTTGTGCGCTGTCCGACTGAACGGAACAGTAAGAATCCGGAAAGATAGGGACACTCGTCGTTGCCTCTTCGTCGTCTCTGCCTATTCTCCCACTGACTGCAGCTCAGATGATGTCAAAGATGAGTTTTACAGAAAGCTTTAGGACCTTCTCCGAAAAGCTAAGCGCTCGGATGTTTTAATAGTGGCCGGTGACTTTAATGCTCAAGTAGGTAAACTAAGAGAAAGGGAAAGACACATGGGTGGATTTCATGGTGTCGTGGCTCAAAGAACAGATAATGGCGACCGTCTGTTGCAGCTATGCTCAGATAACCGCCTGTTCCTTGCAAATACTAACTTTAAGCATAAGAAAAAACATCTTTTAACATGGCGACCCCCTAATTCGTCCCAACGTTGGACCAAAATAGATCACATCGCTATCAGCCACCGATGGAGGGGCTCGGTAGAAGACTGTCGCTCATTCTGGAGCACATGCCTAGATTCAGATCATGCTCTAGTGCGAGCGCGTATTTGCTTGCGTCTTACTGGACGTAGGAAAGACGCTGCAAGGAAACCTCTTAGGCGCCTACTTAATGATAGTCAAGCTAAGAGTATATTTCAGGAACAACTAGGAAAACAGTTAGGCAGCCATGTATGTGATGCCCACCCCGAGGCAGCATGGAATGATATCCGAAAAGCTGTGGAAACACCAGTGATATCTGCTAGTAAGGTAAACCAGAAGGTTAGAGAGCAACACTGGATCTCAGCAGCATCTATCGCATTGATAGATGCTCGGAAACTCATTCCACCTGGCTCTGAACATAATGAAGAGCGCAGTCAGCTTAAGCGCAAGCTGACAAGAAGTCTACGCAGTGATCGCGAACAGTGGTGGGTAGCGAAAGTAAGAGAGATGGAAAAGACAGCGGCAATAGGTAATAGCAGACAATTGTTTAGACTCGTTAAGGAAACCGGAATTAGGAACCCGACCGTTAGCGAAACAATCTCAGAGAAAGATGGACATATTATACATTCTCAATCCAGGAGATTGGATCGATGGGCAGAACACTTTAGGGATCAGTTCAACTGGCCTTCAGCCACACTTCGGTTTCCCACGATCTCTAGTCAACCTGAATGGCAAGTTGATGTAGGTCCTCCGTCCCTTTACGAAGTTGAAAAAGCCATAGGAAATCTGAAGCGAAGGGAGAGCAGCAGGCCCTGACAGGTTTACTCCTGAGATTTTTAAGGATGGTGGTCCAGTATTAGCAATGAGATTAACCGAGGTCTTAGGTAGAATTTGGGAACTGAACGTAATCCCATCTGACTGGTCTCAATCACTGATTGTGCCAGTCTATAAGAAAGGACAAAAGTCCTCTTGTGACAATCACAGAGGAATCAGTTTGACTAATATAGTGTCTAAAATATTAGCTTCAATAGTACTTCGACGCCTAATCAAATCTCGTGAAGAGCAGATTAGAGAAAACCAGGCCGGTTTTCGACCTGGACGTGGTTGTATAGATCAGATATTCACACTACGTCAGGTTCTAGAACACAGACACACATTCAGACGCCCCACAATGGTAGTATTTCTCGACCTTAAGGCGGCATTCGACTCTATTGATCGTGAGGTTCTATGGCAGTGTTTGTCACTGAAAGGAGTACCAAAGAAGTACATTAACCTTATAAAGGTTCTCTACTCGAACACAACTGGTAGAGTGAGAGCTTATGGCGAACTGTCATCAGAATTGATTACCTCAAGTGGTGTTCGTCAGGGCTGTCCATTCTCCCCATTCTTGTTCAACTTTGTGGTCGACGTACTTTTAGAGATAACACTCTCCTCATCTAAATTGCCAGGGGTTAAACTTCTACCAGGAGGTTCACTTGTTGACTTAGAATATGCTGATGACATAGTTTTATTTGGTGAAGACGCTGACAAAATGCAGAGTCTTCTGACCACTCTAAGCAACAATGCAAGCATGTTCGGGATGCGATTCTCTCCCTCGAAATGCAAAATGTTGCTTCAGGATTGGGTTACATCGACACCCGAACTAGTGATAGGGAGTGAAGTAGTTGAGTGTGTCGACCGCTTCACTTATCTTGGAAATCTCATCAGCCCTTGTGGTCTGGTGTGTGACGAAATCTCAGCACGGATACAGAAGGCTCGACTAGCTTTTGCCAACTTGCGTCATTTATGGCGTAGGCGAGATATCCGTCTATCAACCAAAGGACGTGTTTACTGCGCAGCAGTTCGTTCCGTCCTACTTTATGGCAGTGAAACATGGCCGGTAAGAGTAGAGGATATCCGTAGGTTACTAGTATTCGATCATAGGTGTCTTCGAAACATTGCTCGTATATCATGGGACCATCGAGTAAGTAACACAGTTGTTAGGAAACGGGTAGTAGGTAAGGATGGCAAATCAATTGATGACGTAGTGAAACTTCATCAGTTGAGATGGCTGGGACATGTGTTACGTATGCCCAACCACCGACTGCCTCGACGTGCTATGTTCAGTGGTATAGGAGTAGGTTGGAAGAAAGCTAGGGGCGGCCAAACCAAAACATGGCACAAGTCCATGAAGTCACTGACAAGTGGACTGAGTCATGTTGGTAGGTGTAGATTACCTGGTTGGGGACCGCGAGATGATAGCAACCGATGGTTAGAGACCCTGAATGACATGGCTTAAACTCGTTTGCAATGGCGCAGGTGCATCCACTCTCTGTGTTCTCTCAAATTCTAATCTTCTGGATTCTTCATGTCCCTTTTTTCTCTTTCCAAATTTCTTTCACTGTATTATACTCTTTAAATAACATCTCCAAACCCTAATTTTTCCGATTACAGCTTATAATTTTACAACATCTAGCACTACGGGATTTGAATCGACAAGTGCATCTCTGTGCTAATGTGGTGTGGCAACTCGAACTGATGTAAGTACGTACGAAGTTCTACGTTTTTACTGACTGACTGACTGACGAGTAGTCATAAAACTGGGCCGTGTCATGGACGAAGTAGAGGTAGGAGGCGATAGATGGTCATGCCATCGGAATCAGATACTCAAACGGCTAGCCCCAGACCGCCCGTCAACAGGAGTATATATTCCCCTTGACATCCTGCTGGATACCTCGAGCTTACCGGCAGCCCCACCACGAGAAAAAGATCAACGACAAGCTGGTCTCCGTTCCAGAAGGTAGCCTCTCCAACAGTTGCGAACTACAGTCAAAATGCAAGTCGACCCCAGGAAAGTACGCAATTAAAAAGTGGAGGTGTGCTGGGGACGTTAGATCCCTAGACCTCGTAATTGATTCTAACCTAGCAGGAGATTGAATTGAGTTATGAAAATTTCGAAATATCTGCTGATTTCAGGTTGATCTGAGCCTCAAACATCTGAAAAACTTATGATCTTTTTACCGCCTCTGTCTAAGATAAAAACGTTCTCATAATGAAACGTGTGTTCACAATTGTCTTCATATATTGATATAAGTAAGTAGTTTTCATGGCTTTCGACAGGAAGTTGATGTTGACTATTAAAAAATGTCTCTTGTTCTTTTTAGTATTCGGATAGATGAACGAGCTGTATTCATTTGAACGATTTCATAAGCTGTTGGTTTTTTCGGCCTTCAGGGAGAATAACCTGTAAAAAAAATATTAGTATATTTATTACTTATGTAAAATGTGTTAATACTGTACAATATTATTGTTTTCTTTTCCATAAACTATCCATATATCAAAGTTGCTTTCTGACTGATTAGAAACTAGACAGAAACTTATCACGGTTGTTTTATGCCAGTCCCTAAAGTATGATTTTACCATGACGATATGAAGTAATCATACATTAAAATTGTAATCTATTTTAACTCTTATATACCACTGAATATCAGTTATTGATTGAGTCATTCAGAATGTGATTATTCAGTTGAGAGTACTGGACGGCTGTTTCGCCCTAGTATGAGACTCCTCAGAAGTGCGCATCGACGATCCCGCCTCACGAGATTTCAACTTAGGACCTATCAGTCTCGCGAGCGAACGCTTAACCTCTAGATCACCGTGATTCAACGTTGTTAATGTCTAACTTCAATCAATCCACGAAGTTGAGCTACCATCCCCCATTGTCTTTAGTGAGTTACTATCGCACAACAGACCCGGTTGAACTCCACTAGTCAGTGCTTCTCACTGGAACTCCAGGGAATGCCTCTTAAAGCCAGTCACTAGTAAGCATACGATGCTTATTATCAGATTGATAACCATTAAATAAACATGTTTATTTAATTATGAGAGGTTAATTACTGAATTATACCTTTTAGATATATGCATTGATGTATTCCAATATGGATATTCATGATAGTACACCATCAGTTTACACTGTTTCAACTATATCGTATCTTTCAAAATCGAATTATTTAACAATTATAAATCGTTTAAAGTCATCATTCTCTTGGTTAAATGATTCAGCATATGTTACATGTACAATTATAAAACAATTATATATGAAAATATTAAATTGTCATTATAATCAACCTATACAGATTGAAACTAATGTAATTGGTCTTGAATATGATTATTTGATAACACATATTTATGTTCTGATTGATTGTACATTGAACAATTCGGAAAATTCTACTCTTTCTCCTACTACATTTTATTTAAATTTAATAAAATGGACTAAATCTATGAATTCAATAAATGTAAGTCTTTTGATTAAAGTATTCCATGCATATGCATTTTGAATTTGATGAAGAGAAAAAAAACCCTTATTGTTAAATAATTAATTGATTAAATTACAAATGATTAACTGTACAGTTGGTTTTTATTTAGTAAATTTCGTTAGTTTTAAAGTTTGTATTCCTGTGCTTACGGAAAATCAAAATTTATTCATGATATAAATTGTTCTCTAAACAATCCTATATTTGTTTCAATGTATTTAACGTGTAAAACTGTTAATGTGTTGATAAAATATGAAAAGTTTATGTAGATACATATGCCCTGGTACGGCTGAGAGTGGGGAGAGTCACCTCTCCCTTTCGAAATGTTTTCAGATGGCCACGTGCATACAACCACTGCCAGGGAAGTCCTACTCACTGCTTTCTCATGGCGGGCGTATTGTTTACAAAACTGAGAGGACGAAAAGCGAATGTCCGGCACTTTGACTGGGTTGGTGGATACGGAGAATCCACCTAGGGGAGTTGGAAAACCCTGATTCCACACCAGTGTTGCACATGGGCTCCAGAATCGTGAGGGAAAAATGGCGTATGAACCAATCGTTGGTGACCGTCTACCATGGGACTGCATCTCCTTACGTTGTTCCACTGCCTTGTGGATCAGACCTTTAGGTTGAAGGTTCGGGATGTGGTCGCCTAAGGAAACCACCTGATTGGTTTTGGACACCAACTCGAATCGGATTACCAACAGTCATTGACATCGTAAACTGATACAACTAGTTGTTAGTTTCAATATCACTGATATCCTTCATTTTGTAGTGTATTTATCCGATCTCTATCTTAGTAATTTGTAGATTAACTTTCTGTCTGTTATTGTTCTACTGTAAATATTTCAAATTGAACATTTTCTTTCGTACTCATTATCGCTGTTATTTTTGTTGCTTGTGTGTGTGTGTGTGTGGAACTAATGTTACAGCTTCTTACAGTTGCACTTCGTCGAATTTGTTCATATTTACACTCAACACTTGCTCATTCCACATTGAATGACAACAATTTCGATATAGAAGATATTAATGAAATTATTGATGCCAGTGAACACTTGAATTCGTCAATATTCAATAAATTAAAAACATTGTTTCCCTTTCAAACTTTATTTCAAAATTTTATTCGTTTATATTTTCGGTTAGATGAAAATATTCCACATAATAATAATCATAAAGATGACGAAGCGTATCGATATGCATTTGCCTTATTAACTATACAATTGCAACAACATCAAAGTGATCATGATTCCACAGATATCTCAAGGAAATTAATTCTGGCAGCTTTTCGTTGGAGTTGTAAACAGATGAAATTTCTATTTAAAAAAATGAAATGCTTAAATTCACCACCAATCTACTTAGCAGCATTTATACGTTTTCATACTAAATTGATCACAGTTATATATAATAAGGAGAGTGATGATGACGTTTCATTAATTCTGTCTAAATTCTGTAATTTAGGCAATCTTTGTTTCAATATATTGCAACACTCACATACTACTACTACTACTACACATGTCTGTTTAGAAGTAAAATATGCTGTTTTGCATTCGTTTTTTGTATTAAGAATTTTTGTTAATTGGTTATCATTCTCCTCGGAGGAAGACATAAAGAAAGGTGAGTTATTCTTAAATACTAAGGAATTGTTTATGTTATATGCATGTTCAAATCGATGGTACATATCATATTAATGTAGCAGACGGTATGTATGAGAAGAAATCAAAGATCATTCAATCGAAATATTTTTTGTTGTTCATATTTAATGTATTCAACCATCAACCATTAGATCACAGATACAATGCAGAATATCATATGTTCAGGTTGACAGACAACTACGGGTGGTTAAACAAAAGAACATTATCAGTTCAGGAATTCACTGACTGCTGTATTGCATCGTATCGGGAGACATAGAGTTTACTAGTTAGATATCACAAAATAATTGTATTCTTTAATTGAAGAAGCTAACTTAAGTAATCAAAAGTCGTTTGTAATAGTGCATTTGTTCACATTCATTATTTGTACTTATTGCTCACAAACTATACATATGTTAAGAAGCAAAAAATGCCCTGGTACATCCGAGAGTGAAGACAGTCCCCTTGTAATGGCATTAAACCTCCAAAGATAACTACAAATCATAGCTTAACGCATGAATGTCCACTCTGAATTCATTGTTTTAAGTATGAGGTTAATAATACTTTGATGTCTACAGTTGTCCACGTCTTAACTGTATAACACCATAGTCAATAATTCATATTAAGTTGTCAACAACAACTACCCACATATAACCGCCAAATGCCCTGGTACTGTCGAGAATGGTGAGAATCCCCTCTCCCTCTCGAAATGCTCGCATATGGCCACGAAAAGCGAATGTCCAGCATCTAATTCGGATTGGTGGGTACAAATCATCCACTTAGGACAGTTGGAAATTTATTATTTATTTGAACACATAAATATTGGTACAAGAGGGCACCAAGTATATATGCGCCACACAAAACAATAAGGAATTGCAACCAGCTTGCTAACATCAATCCGTTGGTGGCGGTCACTTCGTTGGCCACTGAAAAGTAAGGTAAGATTGGCGCAGACCAAAGCATGGTCAGAGTCCAGATAAGTACTCCAAAAGGAGCGGCAGTCTTGTACACAACCACGCCAGCGGTAGCTGATCGCGCCCGACCTGAGCATTCAAGTCTCCGGCTAGTACTACAATATCTGTCGAACGCACTTTCTGGAGAAGAACAGATAACTGGTGGTAAAACTCATCCTTGATTGCATCCGGGCTGCAATCTGTCGGAGCATAGGCGGAGATGACGAGAAGACATCGTTTCTCATGCCGATTTCTTCTCATTTTGATGTAACTTTCTATTCTAACAGCACATAACTGACTGTCAATGGGGATCCAATCGATTAGAACTGCCTCAGCTCTAGCGCTTAGTGCGAGACCAACGCCAGCAAAACCAGACGAGGGTGCCACAGGGTCCCCGGATAAACGCACGTAAAACAAGCCTTTTGAAGCGACAGATGGAGAGCGAATTTGTAGTACTTCACCAGAGTCTTGAATACGGGTCTCGGATAGACAACAAACGTCGATATTAAGACTTTCCAATGATATAGCCAGCCCTATCTGTTGTCCGACCTGCATAAGTGTGCGAACGTTGAAGGCAGCCAGTTTGAATGGTGCACGTGGTTTCAGAAAAACTGCTTCAGTATTCGTGTTTAATGGTAGCATACAATTTTCAACCGGACAGTGACTCGAGAACCTTTAGACAGAACCGAGTTTCCACCATAGGCGAACTACTGCATAAGTCGAAAAATAAGTATACACAGAGTGGGAATAAAAGAGAGTGAACAAATGACGTAGTAAATAGTAATAATGATAATAACAATAATAGTAATAATAATGTGAATCGTGTGATTGTTAATCGAAGCAAGACAAGCATTTTCCATAAATATCGACATTCCATCATATTTGTGTGTGGGCTGTGATACTGCCCGGGTGCCCAGACCGAAGCAAGTGGTTTTCTTAGGGAGCCACACCACGAGCCTTTGACCTAAAGGTCTGACCTACAAGGCAGTGGATCTCGAAGTTGGACGTCTGTTGAATTTTTCATCCAGTTCAACAATACTCAGTTGAAAACTTTTCCTGGTACCGATAGTAGTGTGATGACTATATAGTTCTCATATTTGCTGAGATCTCTTTTCTTTAGTATTGTGATGAGGCATCCATCTTTTTAGTCTACTTGTATTTGTTCTTCATCCCAGATGTTTTTGAAGCAAATATGGAATATCTTCGGAGTCACTTCTATATGTGAACACAGTGCTTCAGTTGGTATACTGTCTAGTCATGTTGCTTTGTCATTCTCAATTTGTCTGCTGATTTGGTGATTTATTCACCTGTTTGGTGTGGTGAAGCATCTATAAGAAGGTCTGTATTTACTTCGGTGTCTGTTGGGTTCGGCAGGGCTAGTCTATTCAAGAGCTCTCCAGAGTGTTCTAATCATCTGTTCTGCGGCTCCTGATCCTTCTTTGATTCTACTGATCTATCTGGTTTACTGTATTCTTCTGTTCTCTCGTACAGCTTTTTCTGCTGTGATTGTTAGGTCTTCTACGTATTTTTGCTTGTCACCTTCAGTGCTCTTCATGGCTCTTTTGTCTTGCTTCTGTATATTCAGCCTCTGATTTGGCTTTCTTTGCTTTTCGGTTGTTGTTGATTGCTGTCTTTTTGCTTTTCCTTCCTTGAATGCTGTCCAGGGTGTCCAAAGAGATCCACTCTTCATACTCGTGCTTGGAGCTCAGCACCTCATTCCATGTTGAAGTTATTGCTTGCTTAATCCCTTTCCAGTTGTTGTCCATAGTGATTTCCTTTCCTTCTTCTATCAGAGCTTGTAAAGCTTGGAACCTGTTATTCAGACACTATGTTGAACCTGTGGGCTCGTTAGCATCTAGAAGAAAGGCTGTATTGATCTTTATGTCTGTTTGCTCAATTGTCCAATGCCTCTGCTTCAGCCCGGCCACCACCAGATGTTGATATGAAGCGATATCAGCCCCTCCTTTTTCTTCTTATTTCTTCCTTGGGTCTTCTTCATGTTTCGGTAATAAAGAGGTGACTGATCTAGCCTTCTGTAATGTTGTCCGCTGAAAGCCCTGTAGCTTTGTGTATGCGTTTGCAGTACAAAATCGTGCCATGTATACACATATTGTTAAAAGTGTGTATATTTGTCAGTCTCTCACCTTTCTTGTTGTTCCTTCCGTCCATGTCAACCCATGATGTCTGCATACACGGTGTTGTGTACCCCAACCCTGGCGTTCAGGTCTGCCATCGGAATAGTCGATTCTTTTCCCAATCATTTCTCTATGACCGACTGGAAGTGGTCTTTATCGTTTCCACCGCTATCATCGGTGTGCATTGTGATCGCTTCCTATTTTCCTTTAAAGAATGGTTTGACGATCCTGGATCCATGAATTTCCTATCTCATAAGCAATTCACGTGCTATTGTTTGCACACTATCAATGCAATTCCCTGTGTATGGGAGGCATTTTCCTGTGGAGATTAGTCATTTTCCCCCAATCGGTCCCACTTATTCCAACTGTGACTTGGTTGCATCGTCCAGGTTTCTCATATCGTTCAGACATTCCATGTTGCTCTGGTTGTCTGAAGACTATATATCATGCGGCTTTCGAAATATCTCGACTTTCACCATGAGGCGTTATGATTCTCCCGTATGTAAACCCTTCAGCTCTCAAGGTAGAGTTTGGATTGCTTTTGTTGGTGAATGTTCTTTTAGCGGTATTTGCTGTTATAGGGTCGAGTTGTTAACAATACTCTCAAGCCTCCTCCATTACTCGGCTTGTGACCGACAGTAACCCTAGAGAGGCTCCAAACGGAGTCAATGATTAAAACACTAGTATATTGATATTTTTTGTATAAGATTTTTTCTAAAATGGTAGGTAATTTCACTGAGTTTGAACAGTCAAAATCTGAATAATGTGTTTTCCCAAATACACGCATGAGTAGATAATAATGATTTATTTGTCCAATGAATTTACATTTTTCGGAAAACATATCGCAAATAAACAACTGAGACCACACGAAATCCTTGACACCTTTTACTCGTCCGCTTTACCTCTCCATCTCTTCAACTTTCAGTTTTTCTTCAATCATTCGATATTCTAATCGAGAATATTAATAATTTGGAAAGTTCTAAACTACAAAAATTGACATGTAAGACCGTTCAGAATATCTTGATGTTCAGTGATCCAAAATTTCAATGTAAGTTATATAAATGTTATATGAATTCCGTTTTTAGTTGTGTTTGTCCACTAGATATAATTCAGTACAATTTTGTATAATCATCAATTGTAATTTTGCACCAACGATCTTACTTCACAATCCTTGATTCGTGTATTGTATGAAGGCAGTCAGTTGAAATCTGTGAACTAAGATTCAATCGCATACTGCCATCCAGTACTGGAATACATTTTCCGTTTTAAGAAAATTATGTACCACAACCTTGATGTCCGTCTGTTAATCAAAGGGGCTAGTGTACTATTATCCAACAGTTCTTCGTCGACTGAGATGGTTAACAATAGTGTGACCCTTGCATCTCCATCATCTACCTTGACATCCAATGTTGGTTGACATAGAACTAGATTGAAAAACGAGAAGGTTTGAACAATTAACAGATGCCATCAATCCATGAAGTTATTAGCTGTCGATATGATCCATTTTGAAAGGTACAGACATCGTGGTTTGAGTCGACGCAACATTGCTAATCGAATTCTAAATAAAATAGTCCGTTTTATTAAACAAGTCTTTTCGAATTAACTGGTATCGTATAATAGATTGAAAGAAGGTAACAAAAAACGATTCAGATGAAAGCGACAACAAATCTGATAGAAATTGTAACAGTCTATTGTCACCATTAATTTTATAGCAGTCATTTATTAAGGTATGTATATAACAGATGATGAGCGCAAAGGTATTTACTCTCTGCCACTGCTGAAACTAATACTACGACAGACATGCTCACTATTCTACAAATACCACTATTCTTTTGCTCACACTAAACAGTATCTTGTATCTGCAATTTGTCATTTCAATTGACATTGTGTAAATATTCTCATACTATGAATGACGTGGTTGTTAAGGTGTCTATCCATCAAACATGATTGATACATTGTGCAGTTTAAGTAGACTAGATGTGAACATGAATTAATTCATTGAGCATTAGTTATTTAGACAGAAACAGGATACCATCAACCAACACTGTCATAATCTTTTTTATTAGTAAAATATATTCATATCCGACTATTCAGTTAATTAATAGAATATTGAGTTTTCTGTTTACTGTGAATAACCGAATTGGATAAATTCCGATGCACACAAAAACAAAATGCGTTAAAATACTGATAGTTCATGAAATATATAGGTGTATCGCATGAATAACTCGTGATCTAACATTCCACAGTTTCATTAATTTGTTAAACATGAGATATGGTATTTTCAAACTCTGTATTCGGTGATGATTTACGGAATTACCACATGATAAGAGACATTTTATTTTATATTGCCTAGATAAATAAATTACTTTACATGTGTAAACTTCTATGATATTTCTGTATTTTAAACTTGTCACTACATTTTTGTAATAAAAACAAAAAAACTGTTTTAATGTCAAATGTTTTCTTGGTATTTTATTTCCAGGTGTCACACAATCACCTTATATTCTATTAGATGGTTTAATAAAATTCGCTTTATTACATGGAAATTTCGGTCTCTATGAACATTTGCTCTTATTTCTTCGAAAAAAAGTTCGTCATTTTAAAGAACTCAACGTGAGTAGATGTGATGTATTAATTTAAAGATGTTTGTATACTGTACTATGATGAGGGCACACTAACTTATTTGCGTACAAGTCAATATATTGTGTCTACTTCACTATTATCATTCATCAGAATCACACAGAGTCGCACTCAACACCTTGAGTTTTCCGACTGCACGATAGCATTGAATACTTGATATTCCAGCTTCGTATATTTTATGATCATCTCGGAACCGCTATCGCTCCACTACCTGTCCATTTGATTCATGCAAATCATTTCTACTAGTTTAAACGACAGGAAATGCATTTCAGTGATACTTCATTATTACCCACAGGATTCTTATCGAGTTATGTATGTATGGATATTGTAAATTTGTTCAATTTGTCCACTCTGAATTCATTGTTTTAAGTATGAGGTTAATAATACTTTGATGTCTACAGTTGTCCACGTCTTAACTGTATAATACCATAGTCAATAATTCATATTAAGTTGTCAACAACAACTACCCACATATAACCGCCAAATGCCCTGGTACTGTCGAGAATGGTGAGAATCCCCTCTCCCTCTCGAAATGCTCGCATATGGCCACGAAAAGCGAATGTCCAGCATCTAATTCGGATTGGTGGGTACAAATCATCCACTTAGGACAGTTGAAAAACCCTGATTCCAAACCAATCGTGCATATGGTTTCCGGGGTCCTTAAAGAACAAATGACGTACGAACCCATTTTTGGTCACCGTCTACCATAGGACCGCATCTCGACATATTACTCTCCTGCCACTGCCTTGTAGGTTAGACTAAATCTCCGAGTCACAGGTTCAAGGAGAAAAACACCTGGTTCGGTTTGGGTACTCTGGTAGTACCCGAGTGGACAGACATATTTAATGATAACTTGTGTTGCCCATTTATAGTTTTGTGCCCCTTTATACCAATGTTCATGTGTTTAAATAAATCAGTAAAGTAAAGCAAATATTCCACTAGCATTTTCGCTTACTTTTGTTGTGTTGTTTACACAGTCGCAGTTAGATAACATAATTAGTGAAAATGCATTCTCACAGACAACATTGAAATTCGAAAACGATCAAGTGGAATTAATCAAAATTATATCTGATAATATTACGAAATGGATACAACCATATCTTGATGCATTGTACGTTTCTTTACATGAAAATGATAGGATGGACTATATTCAAAATGATCTTGATAAGTCATTGTGTCGAGTAATGGATTTCAATGATATGGTTCCATTTTTAATTTTCAAATCGGATTATGCATCACTTCTATATTTGAATCGTTACACGGATAATCGCATGATATTATTATTGTAAACAATTATTTATTTTATTTCGAAAAATAAACAAGTTTTATTCGTTATTCCTGTCAACTGTCCTTTCTTCGCCCGTTTTTCGTCTTCACACACATACAAGTGTAATTCAACATACACTTTCATATCATTTTTTCTTTTCCAGAATGTCTGGAAAGGACAAAAAACGACGAGGTTTACGAGGGATCGAAATCTTTATTGTACTTTTTTTTGTTAATTTATTGTACCACATGGCCCCTGGTAATAGGAAACGACAAACAGACGCGTCTAAACAAAGCAAGTTATCAAAAGAGTGAATACTAACTACAAGCTCTTTAGGTTTAAGCATCTAAGCTGCCCACGTCGTCACTACCCCACTAGATGTAGAAAGATGTTCAACGGTAAATAAATCCCCAAATTCAATAGCTTTGTTAGTCCGATGTTTCATGCTTACCACGTTAGATTTAATGTACTCACCTAGCTGAAGGCTCTCGGTCATGCATCCGCACCAGGTTACGAGAGGAAACGCCGTGCTCAACTTCCCCTGCAACCGCTAACCAGCTTAGATCAGTCGATTCCCGACATATTGATAACCTATCAAATTTATCTTCGAATCTCCTCACGTCTGACTTTTGATTCTACTGAGTGGCACGATTCAGTTATAGATGTTACTGGTTAAAGTGTTGTCAAACTGCAAATACCTGTGGCATCTTCAGCCTGATATGTCTGCGGCAGTCCATACTGCCAAGGGACTGGAATTCGCAATAATTATTACGGTGCATAAGGCGGCGAGTAGGGACCTGAAAACTATTTACCCGTTAGTTTAACCAGTGTAGTTGTAAAACTAATTGAATAGATCATTCGGATGGTTATTATGAACTGTGTTGAGGGGCACAATCTTTTGAAGTTGCCACAGGTATTCGGAGTTTGACAACGCTTTACGAAGCGTACCCACCAAGTGAAATCAAGAGAAAGAAGCGAGGAGGTTCGACGATATATTTGATAGGTTACCAGTATATCGTGGATAGGCTGATCTAATCTGGTTAGTGATTGCAGGGGATGTTGAGCACGGCGTTCCCTCTCGTGATCTGGTGCGGATGCATGACCGAGCGCCTTCAGCTAGGTGAGTCCATTAAAACTAATGTGGTCAACATCCAATATCGAAAACTTACAGAGCTATTTATTTTGTGGATTTATTTACCGCTACACTTTCATCCAGGAAACAACAAGGTTTACGGATATTCTTACCATGTTTGACAAATCTGCTCATAGCAAGAGAAAATTGGGCTTCGACAAAAGGTCGAAATATTCCTGTATATATGATTTTCATAGTTCTGAGTAAAGCCTTTGATAAGGTCTCCCATCCGGATGTTAGATTAAAACTGCAAAGTTTTGCAATCCATTATAGGGTCATAAAGTGGACAAGCGGCTTTCCCTGACAAGGGACAGAGGGTAAGGGTAAACTGAACTCTCTCATCGTGGGAACTTGCAAAAAGTGGAATTCCGCAGGGCACAATCCTTAGCCATTTTCTCCTTTTATTTCACGTAAATAAATTACCAACTGTGGCGAAGTCATCCATTCTGTTCTTCGCCGATGACATAAAGATTTAGAAACCCATATGTCAGATAGAATAGTATTGCAGGACGATCATCGATTGCATGGATGGATGGATAGTCACTAGAAGCGAATCCTAACAATAATGTGGCGATGCAATTGAATGACAATAATGATTTGTGTCACTACACAATACGTGGATTCGTGTTACCCAAAGTAATAAACAACAAAGACTTCGGAGTCATAATTAGCAGCGATCTCGAAACTACTAATCACTGTAAGGCTGTTGCTACAAAATGCTATAGGGTATTATGAGTTATCTGTACGTCTTTCCAGTATTTGGATGAAGAAATATTTAGCTGAGTTTACCCGACTTTCGTAAGACCGCATTTGGAATATGGGATTCAAGCAGCGAGTTCTTGTTTCAAATATGAGACAGATATGCTGGAATAGGTCCAACGTTGAGGGACCAAAATGGTGAAAGGTCTCTCTAGTCTATCTTACGAAAACAAACTGAGACACCTCAACATATTCGCGTTATCTTACCTTGGAATACGGGGTGATATAATATTGGCCTATCGTATACTGAACAATGACCTTGGTATCAATAAGTCCAATATTTTCCTTCCATCTGGGGCTGGTCATTTGAGAGGACAGATCAAGTTGTCTATGTCTGAAGTTTCGTTTCTCGCACCAAGTCGTTAATTACTGTGAAGATGGCACAGGCATTCAGTGTTTGACAACGCTTTTACCAGCAACACCTAATATAATTTGTACCCACCAAGAGAAATCAAAAGACAGAGTCGAGGAGATCGGAAGAGTGTATTTGGCGATTACCAATATATCGGAATTCTCTGATCTAATCTGTCTAGCGATTGCGGTTGATGTTGAGCACAGCGTTCCCTCTCGTGATCTGGTGCGGATGCATGACCGAGCGCCTTCAGCTAGGTGAGTCCATTAAAGCTAATGTAGTCAACATCCAATATCGAAAACTTACAGAGCTATTTATTTTGTGGATTTATTTACCGCTACAGATCACTCCCTCCCCAGTGGGGTAGTGATGACCCTAAGACGTGGCCAGCCAGAAGTTTAAACCCAACGAGTCGTTGGTAAACACTCTTCTGACGGCTTGCTAGGTTTAGCAACGTCTGGTCGTCTTTCCTTACTATATGGTACCGAGGTACAACAGCAGTCGTTTAAATGTTCTGGAAATCTTACTCTTCTTCCAGAACGCGTCGTTTTATGTTTATTTTCAGATACATGCGGAGTATCATCGCTAGTATTGCTTGTCGGTTGAGGAATTACGCGTGGAGTCGTGTCGTTCGATTGTAACGAAGGAAAATCGACGTAGATAGGATTTCCTTCCAAGTACGCTGCTTTGAGGCGATCGATGCTGATGCTATCGTTTGTTCCGTTCTTATCGACTATATAGTACTTCGGTTCTCGTTGAAGAAATTTGAAGGTTCCTTAGTATGCTGATTCGAATGGCCGTCGATGCGAGTCTCGACGACCGAAAACGTGTGTACTATATCGTAAGTCAGGTTGAACGAAAACATCAGTTGATTGTGGTCGAGTGGAAACAGGTTTAACTGAACGCATTGCGTTTGTAAGCCTGTTTGTGTAGGAAGTTACATCCAGGCTCATTGAAGATGATGCAGGATCCACGAATTCTCCTGGAAGTCGAAGTGTAGTTCCATAAACGAGTTGAGCTGCAGTGTATTCAATGTTAGCCTTCACTGCATCGCGGATACCTAGTAAAACGAGTGGAAGAGCGTCAGTCCACTGTGAAACGTTTGCAGCTGATAGTGAAGCTTTTAGTTGTCGGTGAAAACGTTCTACCAACCCGTTTGCTTGTGGGTGGTAGGCGGTCGTTCGGAAGCGAGTGCTTCCTAATAGTGTGGTCAGACGACGGAAAAGTTCAGAGTCAAACTGACATCCGCGATCTGTAGTGATGGTTGAAGGGCAACCGAAGTTTGCTACCCATCGTTCGACGAAGGTGCGGGCCACTGTTTCAGCAGTGATGTCCTTGATAGGTACTGCTTCTGACCATCGAGTGAAACGGTCTACGCAGGTTAAGAGATAAAAGTATCCATTTGAATCTGGTAAAGGTTCTGCCAAATCCAGATGAACATGGTCGAAACGAGCATCGGGCGTTTTAAATGAGTCTAAGGGACATTTATTGTTTCTGACAACCTTAGACTTTTGACAGCTTACACAGGAGCGTGCCCACTCCCTCACGTCTTTATTCATGCCAGGCCAGCAAAACCATTCTGCTATAAGCTTGATGGTTGCACGAACACCTGGATGAGAAAGTTTGTGCAATGTATTGAAGACATTGCGTCGATAATGTTTCGGCACGATTGGGCGATCCCTACCTGTAGATGTGTCACACAGTAAGGTTTCCTTACCTTTTCCCATCTGTTTGATGCGTAGTTTAATGGTTGTAGACGATAACTCGTGCTGAAGATCACTGTCTTCTTTTTGAAGCTCGGTGAGTTTAAGAATGTCGATCCTTTGGAAACTGTTCAAGGAGGTTATGCGAGGTAAGGCGTCTGCAACTATATTGTTTGCTTCAGAGATGTGTTGAATGTCTGAAGTAAACTGCGAAATGTAGTCCAGTTGTCGAGACTCACGGGGAGATTACTTGTCTGAAGGAGAGCTTAGAGAGTATTATTATTATTATTATTATTCACAAACATCTTATGGGTACATAAGTGTTGTGAAGAAACCATTTCGGGTTTCTTCAGAAAATGCAATAATGCACAATTTCCAATAATGTTAGCATTATACTTGCCATATTTAAAAAAATAATAATAATAAAATTAAAATAAAAAATTGAGAATAATAATAGTAGAATATTAATAATATTAAATGGGGTCTTTGTAATTGAGAAGAATATTGAATTGAGTTTGAAGAAGGAAATGGAGAAAATAAGGGAATAGGAATAAAGGAGACGTGAAATACGCAAACAGTCTAATAGGCGTGTTTATGAACACAGAACAAGAATAAACGACTATGTGTATCGTTAAATTAGTAAGAAAAAATAATTTATCATTGTAGTAAGATATGACACTAAAATAAATGTTTGTGCAGTTATAATTTAGAGTGATGCTATGAAAGTCACAATTTCGTGAAAAGGATAATAAAATATCATATATGCATAGTGAAGATAAAACGAATCTGAGAAGTTAATTGAAGTGTAACACAAGTTATTGTTTTAATTACAAACTTCGTAATCTTAAGAATAATATTTATTTAGAGGGAAAGAAGAGAAAGAAAAGAAGTGAACACCTAGTGAAAAGATTCATCCATGATAAGAATAATAATTGTGTAATGAATATCAACCTCAGAAGGAAACCAGAAATTTTTTTAAAAAAAATCCTTTAAAGCACTCGGATGAATACATTTAGATTTATGTAATAGTATACAGAGTGAAACCGGATATTAGTATAAATATTTGTGCAAAAATA